ATGAACTGAAGGTGGCGCATTCCCGAAACCGCTACTTTGGTTTTGCCAACTTTGACATTTATGGCAATACGTAAACAAACTTTTTGTTTACAAACAAGTGCAAACGTATTGCAAACGTATTGTGTACTTTCAAGTGAAAAATCGAAGTAATTCGTGCGTTCTGAAGTAAAAAACGTTTTATTTGTAATAAAAACTTTATAAAAATGTCGTGTCGTGTGTTGAATTGCAGCAGCCGTAGGGGTAAAGCCCCCAAATGCAGTTTTTTTTTGTTTCCCCGCGACGACGCCTTGACCAGAAAGTGGGTAGAGTTCTGCCGGCAGGAGAAGCCATAAAATTTACACACCAGCCTAATATGCATGAAGCACTTTACGGACCACTTTTAAAAACGACATGTTAAGTTGAAAACGTTGAAATACCACAAATTACAAATTAAAATCGGAGGTAAGCAAGCATCGACCACTTTCTGCAGGAAAACATGCGCTGCGACAAGATATTATCACTTTTTCGGCACCTGCAATACAAACACAAAAATTCTAAATAGTTAATTAATAAGACCTATTTTTTTGAACACATTTCAAGAGTGGTTGTATATTTTTTGTTAACGTAGTGCTTAATTTGCTATATTCAAAGATGACTTGAGAAATTGGTGAATCGAGAAGAAAACAGGTTTTCTCACTGCAAATTAACAACTGTCAACTCATTGTTCTTCGCCATATTCTTTGTTTACCCGTTGCCACAAATGTCATTCTGCGGGAATGCGCAATCTTGTATTCTATCGTTCTTGACTGTACTGTATCAGCGGTTATAACTTGTTAAATTTTTATTTAAAATTTTCGGTAAGGAATAAGCGAGTGGATGAAAAATATATAAACCGTAAGAGCGGCCCTTATATATGTATATCAAAGAATACACACATGCGACGACTCTAGACATTGTGTGTCACTCCTTTAAATTATAGTTATTTTTTTCTTATTGTATTAAAAAAATAACGTTCGTAACACTTTAGTAAATATTAATCCGTATATTACTGAGTATATATTAAAGACTAGAAGATGACCCGGTGAACTTCATATCATCTATAATTTATTTGAATTTAACTTTGATCAATTATAACAAATCTTCAAAATGCAATACAATGAGATCACTAATACTGCCTGCTGTTATAGCTGATAAAAGATTCCACACCTATGAGATGTGCCACGCCCCTTTTTACAAACTCATTTATATACATATGTATATCTTTCCATAAGCACCTACCATAGGTATCTGTGCATTTCAAATTTCGAGTTCATGTGACTATAATTCCGAAGTTAGAGCTGATTAAAAATTTTCACTATGGGAGGTATCCCTCATCCCCCTCCCCCCCTTGGCGAGTTTCAATTTTTTTACCCTATTACAGGTCCAGGAGTCATGGCAATACTTTGGCAAAATTTTATTCGATTCTGTACATCCGTTCAGGCTGCAACCTGGTGCATACATACATACATACTTCCACAAATATATAGTAGATTTGCTTTGAAGCGCCATCTTACGGTTCTCTAAATAAAAAATAGATATCATAAATAGATATCATAACAAAACTCCCGAGCACAACTCTTTATTACAAAAAAAAAATATTCCTAACACTTTAGTAAATATTAATCTGATTATGGACTTAGTACTAATTAAAAATATTTTCTTTTAAAATTGCGCAGGCTCGAAATTGATTTTAGAGCTATGGTCTAAAGGGCCTTTTTTCTTAGAATTTTATGTAGAATCCGAATCTGCTGGGAACGATGTCGAAAAAAAAATTGACCCGCCCTAGTATATATACATATGTACGTGGCTGTTTGGGAGCGCACTGCGATCATACCTGCTTGCACGAATTCGCCTTGATTGGTACAGTGGAACAGTGCTGCACAAAACTACAATGTGACCTTCGTGCCCAAACATACTCCCCCTGTTGAAAGGACAAACCTTTCAAGCCGAACTTTGTAATGGGCTAATTTGTAAACTGCTTGTCGAATAATTCCTTTGGAGGTTTTGACGTCTGCTACACCAATTTTGCCATCGGCACCTGGGATTGTTTGCGTGATTCTTCCCAGTAACCATTGTTTTGGAGGAAAATTGTCTTCATGTACAAGGACTAGTCGACCAAGTTCAATATTGGGCTGAGGTTTGAACCATTTTGAGCGCTGCTGCAGACTGTGAACATAATCGCGTAGCCATAGCTGCCAAAAACGTTGCTTCAGGTAGATGATGGGTTGAAATTGCGTTAAGCGAGTTACTTCTGTGTTTTTAAAGTGATCGTCTGGCATTACGAACCAGTGTTGCCACTGCCTTAGCCTTTAGAGTATCCATAAAAAACCGAAAACTGTATCCAAATGTATCCACCGAAAAGAGCTGACATTTTTACACAGTACATCTATGGAAGATAAACTCGGCCCCTTAACAAAGATATTAACATGTAGTCAGTATTTTTCTATCCTTAGACACGGATTTGAGAAACAAAGGCCCGTAGTTATAGTCAAAATTAAGTCGACTCTAAAGTTAATTGCAGCTTTTTGATATAATTTTAAATGGGATATCTGTCAAAAAAGCTGAAACTAACTTTAGTGTCGACTTAATTTTGCCTACAACTACGAGTCTTTCATTCCCAGATCTGTTTCCAAGAATGGACAAATACTGACTACAACTACGAGCCAAAGTTTCCGCATATTCGATGTTTATGACTACGATTAGATTCCCAGATATAATACATGCAAAAAATGTTTCCTAGTCTATCAAATTAATACTCATTTAAACTAATCTTGACCTGCTACATTTAGTTCAGTAAATTGTTATTTCCTGCTATTATGGTTCCAATGTTTTTCGATGAAACTGTTGGAATGGGAAGTTTTCTGTGAAATACGAAAAAATTGCTCAAAAACTTGTATTTGCCTGTAAATGGAAAATTTCTATTTCCGGCTTGCTTGAATTTTCGTTTAACTACATATAACTGCAAATTTAGAAGTTAAAAGTTATTTTTAGTACAGTGAAGTTATTGTTGAAAATTAGCCATAGGTATGGTTGTCAATTTCCTTTAAATGCTAAGAAAAGGGTTGCTCGGGATATAAAAGTTGATTTTTTCGCATTACAGTTAACTACTACAAGTCGGAAAACTTTTTAAAATTTGCAAACTACCTGGTGTTATTAAATGCACGTTTATGTAGCTAGAAAATTAATTTTTCAAAGTGACAACTACAAAGGAAAAGTTTTTGCTTTGAAGATGAGCAGCTAACTGTTAAAAATGTTATAATAGCTCGTACATAAAAAAAAAAACTTCAACTTACGAATACTTATGGGAAAAGGTATCCAATTATACACTGAGGACAAAAGCGAAGTATCCCTCAAAATTTAAGACGAAAATGTATCCAATTGGATACATATGTATCAAAACGGCAACACTGTTGCGAACAAGGACGAACATATTAACAAATGACCGGGAGTCAAGGCTTCGCCGTCATTCGGATCGTCAGTCAGTGCAACAAGTGGATGCGAGTTGAGTATAGCTTCTACTTCAATTACTGTTGTCTGAAGTTCCTCATATGTTAGATTTGCACCGGATGCAGTCTTCATTAAAATCGTCTTCGTGGATTTCACCGCAGCCTCTCACAAGCCTCCAAAATGTGGTGCGCGAGGTGGGATAAAATTAAAAGTGAACCTTGCGTTATTGCTGTGGGTTGTTATGCCTTCTATTGCTGCTTTGTTGAATAGGCGCTGTTGAAGTTCCTTTAATCTTCCATGCGCACCAACAAAATTGGTGCCATTGTCGCAGTATATACGCTGTGGTAGGCCGCGGCGACCTATAAATCGTTTGAGGCAAAGAATAAAATTATTACTTGACAAATCTGAAACTAATTCAGTATGAACCGCTTTCGAGGAGAAGCAAACAAAAATTGCGACATATGTTTTATAAGGGGGCTTTCCACGAAGTCGATATGATGTGGCAAAGGGACCGCAAAAGTCAACGCCACTAATTAGAAATGATCGTTGTTGCCTTAGGCGGTCTGCTGGAAGGTCTGCCATTATTTGTTCCATAAGCTTGGGTTTATAGTGGAAACAGTGCACACAGTCATGCAACACCTTTCTCACGATTTCCCTTGTATTGACGATCCACACCTTTTCGCGTAGAAGACTAATTAGCACTTTAGCTCCTGCATTTAAGTGCTTGCGATGAAGGTGTTCGATGAATAGTTTTGTAAACCGGTGTTCCTTTGATAGTAATGCTGGAAATCGGGCGTCATACGGCATTGGTAAAGTTTTGTAAACCGGTGTTTCTTTGCTAGTAATAAAATAGTAATAGAACTTCCATCGATAAGCCTTTCGTGTAAAAAAGGTGTGAGTTTTTTAGGGGCGAAACAATGGGCTTGCCTGAGCGTAAGTTCTTGAACTCAGACACGTAGTACTTGTGTTGAATGATGGTTAGGATTTTCCAAAAGGTTTTGTCCAATTCTTTTTGTTAAACCGATGTCACCTGTGAGGATGAAATGTTTCTATTAACTCGCGATCCGTTAACAACACGAAATACATATGACATTATACTAAGTATGCGTTAATATGATGAATTTCGCTTGATGACGGATTCGATGATGAATTCATCTATAGCGTTTCTGGTGATCTTAAATGCAGTCCTTTTTCTATACTCTAATACATGATCTTCAACTTTAACTTCTTTGTTGGTCGCAGGCCGCTTCGAAAAATGCTGCTTGAGGAATTGCGGCCCGGTGAACCAAATTGTATTTGCAAACTCAGATGCACTGCATCCACGAGAAATTAGGTCTGCTGGACCTGCTTGGAACATGTCTCCAAACAATTCCCTTTGAATTTGTTTGCACCTCAGAGACTCGATTCGCGACAAAACAGTTGAGAGTAGATGAATGCATATTCAACCATTGTAAGACAATTTCAGAATCTGTCCAGAAAAATATCCTTTTTATATATTTATTGACCTTTTCAGCAATCTTATGCCAGGTTCGGCTTAATAATAACACAGCACATAACTCTAAACGTGGTAGAGATTTAACCTTAATAGGTGCCACTTTAGACTTGGCAGTCGATAATGTTGCTTTGTATATACCATTTATATTTGTACGTACATACACACAGCATCCGTATGTTCGTTGAGACGCATCAGCGAATCCATGAATCTCGCTTATTAAAGAGAAAGATGTAAAAACGTATTGGGGTAATTCAAATCTATTAATATAGAAAAAGGCGGATTTAATGTTGAGCCACATCTTTATTATATCTGGCGGAAGCCCTTCATCCCATTTTAGCTGTTTTATCCACATTTCTTGTAGTAATATCTTGCTTCTAATAACGATTGGACTTAGTCTGTTGTGGATTTCCATGCCATGCCTAGTGTTTTGGTAAAGCATTCCTCGTTGGTTTTGATGACTAACTCTTCATTCGATGATTCAATAACTTGAGGACAGTTTGTGCTCCACTTTGTAAAGTTTAGACCTGCTGACGATAGAATATCGATTATTTCTGATTTTATCTGTTGTAATTCACTTAGGCTATCTGCTCCGGTCAATAAATCGTCTACGTAAAAGTCCCTTTTAATAATAGCCGCACCTACTGGGTGCGTTTTTCTGTGCAAATCGGCAATGTGAAACAAACTACGGATTGCTAAGAATGGCGAACATGCTAAACCATAAGTAACGGTATTGAGATCGAACATTTGAAGGGCTCATCTTCTCTATTTCTCCAAATAATTAATTTAAACTTCCGATCATCCTTTTCGACAAGAAATGGGCGATACATTTTGGATATATCGGCTGTGATCGCAAACCGATGCAAACGAAAAGACAAAAGCGTTATAATAAGTTCCGGTTGAATAGTTGCGTTGGCGTTTTCATATGAGTTGCCTAATGCAGAAGGTGCGGTCTTGAATGGTAACTAGACTTGTATTCGACCGTTGTTGAGAACGGTGACGTTTTTAAAAAAATGTTTCTCACAATAAGACTCTTCTTCTGATAAAACTGGATTAGATTGCGGGAACTCTTCAATTTCCCAAAATCGCAATAATGCTCGAATTGGTTGCATTACGCCGAATTTGTCCTGAATGA